CATACAGAAGGGCTTTATTCAGTGAGGAAAACCCAGTGCTGCCTCTAAATTCTTAGTTCTTTTCAACCTGGTATTTCCAACATTCTGGCTTTGTAAAGCCAAAATGAACAGTCATGGCTCACCAATTCACCTAAATGTCTCCCCCCAACATGCTTAAACCCCATTTTGCTTTTTTGTAAGGGGGGCAGAGTTTTGCCATGTGGCCCAGATTGGCCTCCAACTTGTCCTCTCGCCTCTGATTCCTGAGTGCTGAGATCATCTGTGTGTGTTCTTCCTAAGTCTTCTCCATGAGAAGCCCATGAGAGAAGGGACAATGTCTGTACTATTCATTCACATTCCTAACAGCCCAAAATGTCTCTGGCAGTAATACACATCCAACAAATATTTAATGACTGAATATGTAAATGGTCTTTATCAGGTCAACTTCTCTGGGAGCCAGTTCATTTCCTTTTCCACAGTCAGTCAGTGGTCCCTGATTACTAAGGCAGTCCCCTAGAATCCTCCACATAGGTAAACTCAGGATATAGAACAGTGGTTCTCAACCTTCCTAATACTGTGACCCTTTAATACATTTCCCCAACCATAAAATTATTTTCATTGCTACTTCATAGCTGTAATTTTGCTACTGTTATGAATCACAATATAAATAGCTGTCTTTTCTAACGGTGTTAGGCAACCCCTGTGATGGGTCATTTGGCCCACAAAGGGATCATGACCCACAGGTTGAGAACCACTGATACAGATATTTGACCATTCTTATAAAAAGGTCTGTTCTCAAGCCATAAAGGTGGCTCAGAAGATAAAGGTTCTAGCTATGCAATCCTAAGGACTCCAGTTAAACACCCAGTACCTACATAAAAAGCCAGATGTGGTGGCCTGCATCTGTAATCCCAGTACTCTGCAGCAAGATGGTATGTGAAACAGAACTGCCCAGACACTCAAGGGCCAGCTTGGAATACACACTGCAGCAGCAGAAACAAGAGAAACTCTCCTTCAACAAAGTAGAAGGCAAAAGCTAACTCCTAAAACTTGCCCTCTGACTTCCACACAAATGCTGTGGCATGTAAGAGCATGTACATGTGTGTCTCTATTCCCCGCCCCCCCCCCACACACACACATTAAATACAAATTTTAAAAAGTTTTCTTCTCTATTCTATGGCATACTCCTGCAGCCTAAATTGGGGGTACAAAACATACCTAGGCAATAATCCCAGCCTCCTTCTTGAAGCCTTCCAATATACACAGCTGAAAACACACCTTTGCTGACTCCTGTCCTTTCCTCTTCCTGTTGTGGTCCCAGGAATGCCACACACTTATAGTCGGCAGCCTCTGCCAAGACACTGCTTGCTGCACCAATGAACTTCTCTCTTGCTTATATTTATCTGAACTGTTTTAAATCAGAAATGGGTTATATATGGAAAATACGCAAATAACCATTCAAATTAAATAATAAACCAGGCATAGTGGTGCATAACTGTAATTCCAGGGTTTAAGAGTTGGATGCTGTTGTGTAACAGTTTCCTCCAAGATGGAAACATTCTATCTAGCAGGGAAGCTCCTTAAACAGGAAAGTAAACAACTCAAAATAGCTTCAGGATGTCCCTGAAACTGACCAGATTCACTAGCCTCTGCCTGCTAGAAATAGCAGTAAAAGCTGAAAAAAAGACTCTCAGTAAGCCAAGCAGCAGGGCAGACTCACACCAGGCCAGTTGCATAAAAAAAAAAAAAAAAAAAAAAAAAAAAAAAAGCAGAACAAGCTGAACTGCCTAGAAGAGATTTAGTCCAACTGAGGCACCAGAAAAGGATACTTGTCAACTTGTTGAGCTGCCTGCAGGCTGTGCAGCGTGCTCCAGGTTCCCAGATCTGTGAGCTGTCACCCATGCTGGGATGGGCTTGGGTGATGGAGCTGTCTCTAAGTTATTTATGCTCCTGTAAATAACTCTTTCTCATATTCCTGTAGGTAGACCCCAGTAAAACTCACTGGTTCACCAAGTTGGACTTTGATAATATCCATACTTTGGGCTGTCATGAGCTCCCTATTTAGGGTGAGTTGATGTGTGTGTTGTGTCTCCCAAGGAAAAGTTTTGTCCCACAACAAATGCAGAAGATGATAAGGAGCACAAGATCATCTTCATGTACATAGTAAATTCAAGGCCAGTCTGGACTACATGAGATCCTACCTCACGAAAACCCAAAGCAAACAAATCCCTATCAATGGTGGTGGTGGTGGTGGTGGTGGTGGTGGTGGTGGTGGTGGTGGTGGTGGTGGTGGTGGTGGTGGTGCAGGTACTTGTATACCCATTATCCAAGTTCGTAAATCTTTCTTTGCATCTTCAAATGTGTTTTGTGCCATATATATCCTTCCCACTCTATGGTGATATATTGTGCCCCCCAAAACATTGTGCACCCTAATAAAGCTTATCTGAGGATCAGAGGAAAAAGCCAGCTATTATATTAAACATAGAAGTCAGGCAATGGTAGCACATCACTTTTATCCTAGTATTTGGAAGGCAGAGATCCACCTAGATCTCTGTGACTTCAAGGTCACACTGGAGAACAGAGCCAGGCATAGTAATACACATCTTTAATCCCAGCACTAACCATAGAAGTCTGTACAGACAGACAGGAAGTGATGTAGCTGGGCAGAGAGAGGAAGTGAGATGCAAAGCAGAAAGGCATATAGGTGTGGGTAAACAGGAAGTAGCTCTCTTTGGAGACTGAGGGTTGGTAAAGTAAGGTTGGTGTGGCTTTTCCTATTCCTCTGATCTCTCAGGTTTTAGCTCCAATATCTGGTTTCGGGTTTTTTATTAATAAGACCATTTAGCAATTTGTCTACATACTCCTGGCCTTTCTCTGTTCTTCCAACACTCACACATGTAGACTTAAGAGACATATCATTTGCCTTTTTTAGTTTTAAACTGTGTATAAACATAATCATAGAATATATCCAAAGGTTTGTCTTTTCTCACTATACTTGGAATTGTAGCCCATTTTGGTGTCTATGGCAATAATTTCTTTCTTTTCACATGTATAATGTGACTAATCTACATCGTTCCTTCATTTTAATTTTTGTAGAAGATTTCATTACATGGCTAACCCATAGTATATTTAACATGTTACTGTTGTTGGATATTTGAGCTATTTTCAGCTTTTTGTTATTAAAAGCAGTACTATTCCAGACATTCTTGTCATTGTGTCCTCATGTATATGAGACTTTCTCTGGTGGAAGGTGGCTTTCAAAATTTTTTGAGCCCAATTAATGCTAGGAAATATTTTTATAAGAAGGATTAATAGAATATTGGGAGCCATGTTACTAGTACATAACAGACAAAAATCAAGAAAATGCTGTGTGACCTCACAAGTTAGCAATGTGCTGTGATCATTTATATCTCTATTCTGATTGTTTATTTGTTTTTTTTTAAAGTAGGGTCTCATATAACCCAGGCTGGCTTTGAACTCTTGATCCCCCTGTCTCCACCATCCCAGTACTGGGATTATGTATATACCACCATGCCTGATTTGTTTTATTTAACTCTGTCCTTTCTTATTCTAACTCAATTTTTTAAGTGTTGGTTTAATCAGTCAACCTGACTATGATGAAAATAATTTGAAACAGCTTTGGTTTGCACATGGTGGAACTCAGAAAGCTGAGGGAGGAGGATAAAACATTCCAGGCCTGACTGCGCAGTGAGACTTTTTCAGGAAAATAAGCAAACAAACAAACAAACAAAAAAAAAAAACACTGAGTATGTGGCTCATACTTAGCGTTTCTATATTTGAGAGGCTGAGGCAGAAGGCTAGGTATGAATTCAATACCAACCTTGTCTACTCAGTGAGTTCTAGGCCACCCTGGACTATAGAATGAGAATCTTTCTAAAAACATTTTCAGATAAAATGGTAGATTAGTCAAGCCCCAAGTCAGTAAAAGAAAATGATCAGGTTACTATTGAATAATCTCTATTCCTGTGAGAGAAAATAGCTAAACATGAATTTCCTAAGCCGGGTGCGATCTCTGGGGAGCCAAGCAAGTGCTGCCGCAAACCTGTGCCCGGCTCCCCTGTGGAGCTCTATGTAAGGCTAATGGGCACCGCTGGAGGAGTGTTCCTCCACTACACACACTAGTACTGCAGGAACAGATAACTGGATGACCAAGGGCTGGACAGACTTCGAGAACCAGGGCCAGTTCAGGCTGTGACAGCAGGAACTGAAAAGCTTGAAGCAGAGATTCAACTCCAGTGTGGGAAACTCTGAGTGAGGTCTTTGAGGACTGACAGACAAAGATGTACACCTTCCTTTCTCTCCAGTACCAGTGAGAACAGGGAGAAAGGGCTACTGGAAAAATTAAATTGAGATGTTATGAATGAACAATCTCAAGCTAAATAAAAACTCAGTAGAAAGCCATCCCAACAGAACAAAGCAGAAACAAGATGGATCATTTCAACCATTGAAACACTGACAAAGATAACAAGAAGGTATGAACACAACATATGAGATATGTGGGACGTCATTAAAGAACACAGTTATGAATCATTGGGATAGATTAAGAAGAAGTGTAGATAAAAACATAAATGATATTCAATAAAATCGTAGCCAAATTTTTCCTAAATCTAGGGAAAGAGGTGACCATACAGTTGAGGAAGTATTTAGAATGCCAAATGCATGAATTGGAAAAGAACCTCCACATGCCATATTATAGTTGAAACATAAAATATTGAGAACAAACCAAAAAAAATGAAAGCTGCAAGAGAGAAGTAAAAAGCCACATATATCTGCATACTAATAAAAATCATATCACATTTCTCAAATGCAGATGACATATTCCAAACTCTGAAAGGAATAACCATCAGTCTCGGTTACAATACCCAACAAAACTATCCTTCATAATTAAAGGAGAAAGAAAAACATTCTGTGATAGATAACAAAGGAATTCATAGACAATAAGCCAGCACTGCAGAAGATACTTTAAGGGCCTGTCACACTGAAGAGAGAGATAAACACACTTCAGAGGTGTGGTGGTTTGAATAAGAATGCCCACCACAGACTCATATATTTGAGGGCTTGGTGATTAGGGAATGGCACTACTTGACAGGAATTAGGAAGTGAGGTTTTGTTGGAGTGGGTGTGTCCTGTTGGAAGAAGTGTGTCACTGGGGGGTGGGATTTGGGGTTTCAAATGCTCAAACTAGGCTGCCCAGGTTCTCTCTCTTTCTGCTGCCTGCAGATCCAGATGTAGAACTCTCATCTCCTCCAACATCATGTGTGCCTACATGGCACCATGCTTCCTGTCATGATAATAATGGTCTAAACGTCTGAAACTGTAAGCTAGCCCCAATTAAATGCCTTCCTTTATAGGAATTGCTGTCAATGGTCATAGTGTCTCTTCACAGCAGTAGAATATGACTAAAACAAGAGGCTATAGAAGAATAACCATACTAGAAAAGACAATCAAGTGAAGAATGAGAAACCACCAAATTACAAAATGACAGTAATTAATACATACAGAAATAGATAAATATAATACATCATATAGACTCAAGGATAGATGACATATATATGACCATCTCAATAGATTAAAAAAAGATTTTGACAAAATTTTATATCCCTTTATGACAAAAGCTCTGAAGAAGTAGAAATAGATACCCCATAGAATAAGAGCTATATGTGACAAACCTATACCCAGCATTATACTAAATGGGGGAAAGTTTGTTTTCACAAAAATCAGGAACAAAGCTAAATTTTTACTATCCTCAGTGTTATTCAATATAGTCTCAAAATCTTAGCTAGAGCAAGTAGGCTAGGGAAAAAAATAAAAGGATACCACTAAAGAAGGAAGAAGTCAATTTTTTCTAGACAGCATAGCCTTACAGAAAAGGACCCTAATAACTCCACCAGAAAATTCTTAAAGCTCATAAACACTTTCAGCAAAGTAACAGGATACAAGTTCTTTATACTTGAAAGAAATAATAGCAAAAAACATTATGGTATTGTCATGAAACAGACACATTGACCGGTGGAATAAAACAGAGGACCCAGAATTATACCTACACAGCTACAGCCACATGAATTCTTAAATTTTTATTATTTCATTCTATGGTGTGAGTGTTTTGCCTGCATATATCTATCTCTGTGTAGCACATGTGTGCCTAGTACTTGTGGATACCAGAAGAGGACATGAGATGCCCTAGAACTGGATTCACAGGTAGTTGGGAACCATCATATTAGTGCTGGGAATATAACATGAGTCCTCTGGAAGATGAGCCAGTGCTCTTAGCCACTGAGCCTCTCTCCAGTCCCCAGCCACCTGATTTTAGACAAAGTTGCTAAAAATACAAATTTGAGGAATGAAAGCCTCTTCAACAAATGGTGCTGGGTAAACTGGAACATAGGAATGAAATTGTATCTGCACCTCATCTCAATACAAAAATCAGCTTCCAATGGATCAAAGATCTTGTGGTAAAACTTGAAAATCTGAAACTACACAGAAAGAGACTACATTTCAAGATACAGGCATCAGTAAAGACTTTCTGAATAGGACCCAAGTATACAGGAAATAAGGCCAATAACTGACACACGGGACCTTATGAAGCTAAAATGGTTCTGTACAGCGAAGGAACCAGTCAAGCCAGTTAATAGACAACCCACAAAATGAGAGAAAAAAATCTTTGCTAGTTATAAATCTGATAGAAGTTAATATCTAGACTGTACAAAGAACAAAAAAGGTACTAAATAAGAGATTGAAAACCCAATCAGCAATAAACTAGTGAAATAAACAGTTCTCAGAAGATTAAATACTGAATTCAAGAACATATTTATGATCATTCACCATGATCAAGCTGGCTTTATTTCAGAGAACTGGGGATAGTTCAATACTTGTAGATTAATGAATGTGATAAATTACATAAATGAGGGCTGGCAAACTGCCTCAACAGGCGAAAGTACCTGTTGCCAAGGCGCATGGCCTGAGGCTGATCTCTAGGACTCACATGGTGGAAGAAGAGAACGGATTCCCTTAAGGTGTCCTCGTCACCACCACATAGCAGCCATGGTGTGCAACACACACACACACACACACACACACACACACACACACACACACAAACAAAAATTAAATAAATTAGATAGATGTGCTCAAGGACAGATTTGTGTGGTCATTTTGATAGATGCTGAATTTTTCTTTTTACAAAATCCAATATCTCTTCATGTTCACCAGAGTTAACCCAGAATAGAAGAAATATGCCTCAACATAATAAAGGCAATATATGACAAACCTGTAACCAGTGTTGTTTAAATAAGGGGAAATTCAAAGCATTTCCACTAAAGTCAGGAATAAGAGATGGGTGTCCACTTTCCCCATTCTTATTCAGTGTAATACTAGAAGATTTATCCAGAACAAAAACCAAGAGAAGCAAATAAGAGGAATACAAATCTCCCCAGTACTAGGATTAGAAGCATACACCATTCTGGATGGCTTTTTATGTTCTGGGGATTGGATTCATGTCCTCTTGCTTCAAGGTAGGCACTTAACCAACTGAGCAATTTTTCTGACCCCTACACAGTGGAGTTTTGTTCAGATATAAAGATATAAAGAAAAATGGAATTATGTAAAGATATAAAGAAAAATGGAATTATGTCACTTGCTGAAATATGGATAGAATTAGAGGCCACTTTATTAAATGAAATAAGTCAGGGACAAAAAGACAAATATTGTATGTTTTCTCTCCTTTGTAGATCCATGTTGTATATACACATATAAAACCATATTCACGTGAAAACAGAAGGGATACCCCAGGAAAGGGAGAGAAGGAACTAGCAGAGAGGCACAGTGGGAGGGAGGGGGAAATGTCGGGTCTTGGGAGTTGGGGGTCTGGGGGATGAATGTCATTGGAGTACATGATGTACTTGAAACAAACTGTTTTCATGAAACTCATTACATGGCACAATATGTTGTGGAATATTCCTTTACACTGTGTGAAGATGTGTCACTGTGATTGGTTTAACAAAGAGCTGAATGGCCAATAGCTAGGCAGGAAGAGGTTAGGCAGGACTTCTAGGGACACAGATCTTAGGGAAGAATGAAAAGAGGAGTCACCAGCTGGATGCAGAGGAAGCAGGACATGCAGGAGGAAAGGTGAAAGCCACGAGCCAGATGGCAGCACACAGATTAAAACAAATGGGTTGATTTAAGTTATGAGCGAGTGGGACAAGCCTAAGCCAAAGGAAATGCCTACTACAGTAATAAATATATATCTCTAAAACTAAAATATCAATAACATGAACTGATTTGTGCTTTCGTGACTTCCCAAATCACTTGCCCTCTGTGAGATACCCTCCCCCTTTTGCTCATATACTTAACTCTTGTCTTTTAAGTTCCAGTTCACGTATTATCTCACCCATCCAGTTTGCCTTGATGTCTAACCATCCCCCCTCAGCCAAAGCCATGTGCTCAGTAAATGAAAATACATGTTGAGAAGATGAATAAATAAAACATAACTGTTCAAATAATTTTCAAGAAAGCATATTTCATTTTAAAACTGACAGGTTAAAAATGGAATTTAAACAACTTCTGACAGACAAAAAATTTCTAGTCCAGTGAACAGGCTAACCGTAGCAAGGATGACTGGATGCCATGAAGTATGCAAATAGTTTTTCAAGGTGCTTGGAATATCGTAAACCTCCTGCCAATGTTAGTTCTCATAGCAGTTGATCTTATTAATGGATAGTGGTGTCGTGAAAGCCCGGAGACAGCCGATGAAGGTCACAGAACTCCTCTGGTGGTGGGAAGAACAAATCCTGAGACAACTCAAGACATGACCGTGACAGAAAATGCACTTCACAAATATGACTAACAGGGAGTTTCCTTCCTGAGATTGAGTTCACCACACAGCTTCCCTGCATCACAGATGCTGCCTGGGCCTGGAAGATAGCTGTTCACTGGGCTGAAGAAATGAGGCTCCCAACGCTTTGTGATCTTCTCATTGAAGATCCAAAAGTCTGAGTCTACTTTAAAAACTCAAACTTGTTTCAGCTTTGGTGTTTTCTTGCACTTTACATAAGTACGTGTATAAACAGGTGATGAAGGACATGGAATTTGAACATGGAGTTTGAATTTGAACTGAGAATTTGAACAGCAGACACATTGTCTAGAGTTTTCTTTGGTATGAGAGAGTAAAGGAATAATGGTAGCGGCTTTACACATACTGCATCTGGGCACCGTGATTACCTTAACAATTGATCCTGGGTTCTTTGAGAATGCCCCAGAATCTTTTTTAGAGGGTGATAAACCTTTTTTGCTTTCACATACTGTTTCCAAACATTCCTTGACTTTTTAAATTTTTTTTTATCAGAATCATGTGTTTCTAAAACCTTATTTTTGCATAGTCCTCTCCTACCTCTCCCTCCCTCCCTAATTCCATCTCTCTCTCTCTCTCTCTCTCTCTCTCTCTCTCTCTCTCTCTCTCTCTCTCTCTCTCTCGTGTATGTGTTATTAAAACCATAGGAAAGGCCAAAGCAAAAGATAGGAAAAGAGAACACAGGTCTTGGAGAATCGTTACATTTTAAATGTAAACTTATGCAGCAACCATTCATGGGCCAAAAAGACAGACAGCAAAACCTGCCAAAGAAAAGCAGCCCTCAAACAGAATTCAGGATTCTTTCCTGGCTTGATTCATGTAAGTGACAAGGCCTGATCACACACGAGTGTGTAAACACACATGTAGACAGTCTGTTACTCACCGTATTTTATTGAAGTGTGCTCGTTTGGCCTGTCCCATTGATGACAAGCAGTGATGGCTGTCTAAGTGCATCACTGCCAGAGTGGAAACAAGATTTGCTAAAAGGCACTTTATTTCCTTCTGATTTCATCTTGGTAGATAGATTTAGGTAGCCCAGGCACCCAGTGTTTTCTATACCTGTATCCCTCTTCAAGGGCTATCCTTGTTAGTAAATGTGTTATGAGAAAGAAAATTATGAAAGATTGACCGTGACTGAGAACAGCTATCATTATCAAATGCCTT